CCAAGGCCGAACTTAGAGGCTTTTATGCTTACGATGAGTTAGTTAGATTAGAATAATAGTTTAGCTGTAGTATGTATTATGCTGCTTAAATGAAAATATACTTTTGTTTTCAATTGATTAATAAACTGACGATCTAACCTGACTATGGGTACTCAAAAAAAAAATCAACATATCATAATTAAAAATTTTTGATAAATTTTTGATAAATTGTTAATAATTATTATTAAAATTTTAACAAATTATTAAATAAAATTTTAAGAAATTTTTAAAAGATTTTAATGAATTATTTAATAAATTATTAATAAATTTTTGACAAATTGTTAATGAATTATGAATATATCAATTTTTATAATATTTATTATTAAATTATATAATAATTAACTATTGCTAATTTTATTTATATTATTAATTTGACAAATTATTTATTTTTTGACAAAGATTATATAAGTGATAGTATAAAAATTATTTTTTTTGAATTAGTGTTTATATCTTAAGTTTATAAAACTAATAAAATTCTAATAATAAATTTTTATGTAATAAAAAAATAATAATTTATTTAAGATTTTAAAAAAAATTTTATAATAATAAATTTTTTTTTATTTTAATTAGATAATATACTGTATACTATACTATTCAAATATAAAAAAAAATAATAAAAGGAAATAATAAAATATTTAAATTATAAGTATATAAAATATATTATATTATACACTAAAATTATAGTACTTCTTCTGTGGCGTCAGCAATACAAATAATGTGGCAAGTTTCTATAAATCCCCTTGTTTCGAAGTTTCATTGAACAAAAATTCTCAGTCCTTATAGTAATAAAGTAATTTATTTCATAACTTAAATTGTGGCCAGAATTTCGTTGATATCGGAACTTCGAGGATGTGGGAAAAATCGCACGCACGAACACGTAGTTTCCGGAGTTTTTGATATGATCATGCCGATAATTGATATCATAATAATACATCTTTCTTATATCTGCGGATAGGTTATTGAAATTTGATTGGTCACTTTAATCGGTAATCGACACGATGTGATGACGTATATATGATTTTTGAATGGTAGATTTGCGGAAACAATGATCTGATGGAACACCATACGATCAACTTGAAGCAGTATACAAAATCTGTGGTTCGTTTTCTCTTCAACAATGTCCTTGTCAACCTTTTCCGAAAACCAAGCATTTAGATAACTAGCCTATAACTACTTCCCTCACTAAAAGTTCAATTATATAAGGACATTTTTCAATCACCGCCAAATATTTTGCCGGTAAGTTATTTATATTATGAAAATGTGACATATAACTGTATTGTTTAATAACGAGATGTTGATTTCTATTATTTCGTTAAGCTCGAACAAAGCAAAGAAAAAATGGAACAGAATATGAGCCGTAAGTATTATTTATTATATTACTCTGAAAGTTATGTAGGAGTAAAGATTATAGTCTAACGCTGGATGCTGTTTTTTCGCTATGAAAAGTTGGTTCGTCTCGTCGTAACTCGGCCGACTCTTCTGCCTCCACTGAAACAATGTCGTCACAAACAACACCCATTTCCACAACTCCTCCTACACCGCACGAATATGAAAACCTGGCAATACTTCAATCAGCTCTAGCTTCTGCTCAAGCTGCAAGGTCACATTCTACTGAGGGTGGTTCCAGGGCTACAAATCATAGGGAGTCAAAAAGGGCTGGTTCAAAACCCCCTCGACAACTTCAATGTTTTAATTGTGGCATAAAAAATACACCGCTCTGGCGTAGAACACCAGACAGAATGCATTCATTATGCAATGCATGCGGTCTATATTTTAAACAGTATCATGTTCACCGACCTTTACATATCATACATAAAACGAGAACATCATCAGCCAAATCCTATCCATACATCTTACCTGCTACTAGAGAAGAAGAAGGAGAGGAGGGGGAGGAGGACGCTGATGCAGTTATGGAAGAATATTCTGACATATCTTCGGAACATCCTGCGGGACACGAATCTAATAACGAAGAAGCAGCACCCGACACATCAATTCAATCACCGACATCAACACCGACTCCCTCCACACCCCTATTTTCAGCACTATCACCTAATGAGCTTTCATCGAACCTAAATTTATCACCTGCAGTACATATGACCACACCTATAATACCATCATCGCCCACAATACCTCCCACGTCCTTACCACCTTCTGGATCACATTCTACGATATCACCTTCATCAATTGCCGCAATGGCCGATATACAAATCCAATGTGCCAATTGTGGTCAAACTCAAACACCATTATGGCGGAAGAACGACAAGGGGCAACCCCTCTGTAATGCTTGTGGACTATATGCCAAGTTACATAATAGAGATCGTCCTATAGCCATGAGAAAGGCTAAAATTCAGCGTAGACGTCGTGATTGGAACAAATATGGTCATGTTGAAGACGGGCATTCTACCGAGGAAAACAACGAGTCAACATCAAATTATTCGCAAAAAGGTCCGATCACACTACACACGATTCTTCCAAATCAAAGGCCTATAGCACCGATGACTATGTCACCGAGTCTTATGGCGCCTGCACTTTTAACATTAGCTACCGCGGCCACTTGCCAGCGGGAACAAATGTTAGAAGAGGAACAGCGTCGCCAGCTTCAACAATTACAACAGCACCATGAGGAGATGTCCGATGACCACGATCAAAATTCGACGATGCCTGGCTGTATAAATTCATCTTTTGATTACAATGATGAGACGAAGTTTAAAATTTTGGTGGATCAAATGTCCAAAAAACAAGTGGAAGGTGTATTGAAGGTTTTAGAGAGGCGGTGCGAGATTCTGAAAATGGCATTGGGCGAATCACAATAACTGGCGGCAAATTTCTGAGCGAGCACAAAATCTCAATAAATAAATAAAACTTTTTTTGGTGCCAATGAACACTTTGATATAAGGGGTTATAGTTTTTTCTTTATCCCAACTCCTACAACCGACATAGTTGAATCAAATGGATGAGGCTGTTCATCGGTATTTAGGGAGAAATTTGAATTTATTATCATCATTATCATTATTTTTTTGTTACCCATTATCAAAACTTAAAAAACTGTAAGTATTTGTTTTCCTGATTGCCAAATCTTTTATCTTTCCTTAACCCTTTTTTTTTTTTTTTGTGATGGCAAATGGCCATTTAATTAATATCTGTTAAAATAAAATATTTTAGACATTCAATCCTTAATTCCTTTTTTTTAAAAACCCCTTTATTATTTGTTAGAATGTATACTAGTCCTCCCGTCGCAGACCATGGTGTTTTTCTAAATCAACCACTCAACCACCACCCAATGGACATTTGAATTAATCAATGTAGAATTAATATGAAGAGTAATTAGAGTGTTTCTTAATTTGACGATGGAAAATTTTCGTTTTCCTGTCTGAGTAATCTATTGTATCATTAACTTTTGCATCCAACTCTAGGAATCCTAATACAGTTATATATATATATATATATAAATTATATTAAAATGAATATTAATAGTTTTAGTTAGCAATGTTTTATTGAATAGAATCATGTAAATTATTAAGGGTTATCAAGAATTTTAAGAAGTGTATATATGTACAGTATATGTAAAATATGGTAATTTTCAATTTCACGAAGATTATCTTGAAAACTTTTGGTTGAAATTTTTATCAGTATTCAATCGGAAGAAATGCCGATATAGTGTATATATGAATAGAATTACTATTCAGATTACGTCACTCGAAACTATCAAAACGATGGGGTGGCGTAATGCAAATGTTTCTGTTTTTCAGAATAATAGCATCGATATAATAGATGCACGTTTATCATGTAAAACTTGCTGGATTTATCAATTTTGATGTAAATCACGCAACCGCCTGGCAAATGACTTTGTTTAAACAAAGCCGCATTTTATGAAATAGTAAAGAAGAAGCTGATCCAAGTCATCATGGGATTTCCGAAGAGATTTAGGATTTACCCCGCACAAAGTTCTCCGCTCAGACCATTTACGTATTACTCATACCATGTGACCTTGCCAATCATTAGTCGGGTGATGAAATAATTCTCATATTGAGAAAGCTAAACGATTCTTTTTCGATAATTTTATTTGATAAATTTAATTTGTGTCACAATTTTCTATTTATAATTGTATGCATGAACTAAACTCTTTCAACGTTCATACGTCCTTCCCTGATAATGCCGTTTATGGTTAAGAAGCGAAAAGATATGTTTTCAAAAAAAGCTATTCAACATTTGAAATGCTAAAATTGTTTTATTTTGTCAATAAAATAATTCATGCACATAATAATTTATTTGCTTTAGAAAAGATGATTTTGTTTTAATACAATAATATGTGTTGAACGTACGTACGTCTATTTTGTGTTTTTATTTTTATAATATACGCATATACACTGTATGTATATTTAAACATTACTGTATAATTTATATAATATAAACTGAAATAGAATATACAGTATTTAAATATATTCGAATTTAACTATATTTACAGCTTGATTTTTTATAAGATCCTTATAATCTTCTTTTTAGGTAATTACCCCAAGGAAAGAGATAACATCAAACACAAGGAATATACTCTTGCAATAATAATACAAATCCAAAAAGACAATCCAATACAAGATAATATTGTATTGGATATTTTAAACTAATTGATAATTAAATATTTATATATCTATTATTTTTTTACTTTTTCATTTCATAGAAAAAAAAATAAACAAATAGTAATTGATTTATAGTAAAAAAAATAGGAACCAATATTAACTTTACAAAACTTACAACCAGGCCAATGCAGATTAATACCTTTCTTGTCATTACAAAAAACCTTGAAAAGAGATAGATTAGTTTGATAAATCAAATAATTTCAAATTCTTCAGGATCCAGAAGGATATTAAAGTTATCTAAGATCCAAATAGTTTAATATATAAATCTCTAATTCTTTAATATCAAAACACATCAATAAGTAATATGAACATATACATATGTAAGAATTAGCTTTCAAAACATATTTGATTAAGATCTATCACAATAGTATAATGAAGCTATTATATTGATAAAATCAATAATTACAATAGAATAATATCAAGTAATCAATATTAATAAGCTATTAAAATATTTTAAATATAAATAGAAAATTGATCAAAACAAGTAAACAATACTTATATTAAATAATAAACAATAACACAAGTCTTATTTATATCAAACAAAACTAATAAACTTAACAATAGATATTAAAATAATATTAAGAACAATAATTAATCTACTTATATAACTATTTATAATACAATACAACTAATCAACAATAATATCAATTTATATATTATATAATTAACTCTTTTCACTGATCCTCTAACCACACACAAAAAAGATGTTCGTAAGAAGTTTTTATATTTCTTTGCTAATAAAGGCTTAATACTTTCATTAAAACAACTTGAAGTATGACTTCAAGAGTCACTTCTACCTTTTTCCTCTTATTTACAAACCTCTTCACTTAAAAACTTGACTTCAAGTGACTAAGAAAAATCAAGTAACACCTTTGATATCAATGGCAAGAAAGTTTCCAAAGGAAGAAGAACTGATTGTGAAATACCTGAAAGCCTATTTAACCTTTGAAATGAAAGGTATATAGAAGTTTTTGATGATAGAAGGATTTATTTTTTCCT